GGCCGGCGCATGATGCCGCTAACTTACTGCCGAGCGCTGTATACGGAGGTCACAAAGAGACGCGACCGTTGCCCGTCATGAACATTTCGCCCGTGAACCGAAACACCCGATGTGCACCCTCGATCCGGTCAGCATTCTGACGCGTAGGAGGCTTGAGCCTGGATAGCGCATGGATGGCTGACCACCATGCACAGCAGGTTGCTGCTGCTGACAGGCAACGCTGCGGGTTCTGATACCTTCTCACGTTTCTGCTCCCCACCATTCTTGCAAATAAGACTATCCCGATATATTTACTTCTCGCACTGGTTAAAACAACATAGACTTTATTTTGTTCACGTGACTCAACGTCATTCGTCCACTGTCGCGATTGATGAGTAAACGCCACAATGGTGCGTAACGACTACAGAAGTGGCATCTGCCTTGTTAAGATTACAAGGAAAATGCTCTTCCTTATTGAACCGTGTCCCTTAAGAGCCCTCAGTAAAATAATTCCCCCCGCGAGGTATTCCTGTACGTGAGGCGGCCTGCTTCGTCCTCGCTGACGGCGGCCCCGGGGCTCCGTGAGGGCTTTAAGAGAGGGCAGAGCCAGCGCTGCTGCGTGTAACGAGTCCGAGAGAGTGGCAGCAATGGTTCAGGATCTTTGGCTTGGAGTGTCTGTCTGACTTCCTCAGCCCAGCCTGGGTCAAGCGACACTGTCGCTTAAACGGGTTTAAAATAACCAAACGCAGCGGATCGCCTTACAGATTGTAGATTTACCGTCAGGCCTGGGGACATGTACTATGCTGGAGAACTTGAATAATTAATTCACGTCGGAGTTGTCTTAAGTTAACTCGAATTTCCAAATCGAGAATAAAGTTTGTTTTGCTGATAATCGTGAAGGGACTTGCCAGCTACACCACGCATGGCTACTGTGACCCTTTCAATCTAAAACTCTGGTCTCCTAAGAATGCCTTCATTTGGCTCGGTGTCAGTAAATTCTGATAAATTGTGGATAATTACCCACAGCCTAGAAAAGGAACGCATCACCATCAGTGTGCTGTGATGATGATGATAACAAATGCCACTGTTAGTAATTATGAGATGCATTAATATATAAAAAAATTACCTTCGCTCAATAACGATCAGCCATGGTCAATCCACTACTAGATAAAGGCCTCCATTAGCTTCCGCCACCTCTGACGATCCTGCGGTGTAATAATTTACCCAGCACCTGCACGTGAACGGATTTTATTGCTCCTTCTCCTCTGTCGGCATCTTCTCGGACACATTCCGTTTCTTGGCCGCTACCATTCCGTTATTATTCAATGTCACGTTTCGTATGCTGCACGATATCATCATCATCATCATCCACAGCCCATCCCCTGGATGGAGGCATCCTCACATCTTGCGATAATTCATCTCACTGATGAATTGTCACATTCCCATGACGCACGTGTACGTCATTAGTCTTCCTTCCGATTCCGTCGTGACAACGTGAGCGTAAAAGAGAAAATAAAATAACTTTATCGGTACGTCTCCAGGTTAGAAGACGTACCATGGCACAAGGCCATGCGGGAGGGCGTGTGGCACAGTTTGGCTCCGGCTATCATCGAGTGCGGTCGTGTCACTACAGTTCTCTACGGTGACTACAACGTCTTTAAAATCAACGGCGCTACGCCTCTCTAAATAAAATTAACGCCAACCCACTCTGCGGCTTGCAGACGTCTCGGAGCGGGAAAGGGTTAAAGTTTCCCATCGCTCCATCACCCCTGTGGTCGTCCTTCTCTCCTTTGGCTGCCATCCATTATCAGTCTCATCCATCTGCCTGCCATCATCTCTCCTCGCCATCACGTGTCCTACCCAAACCCACTTACTCTCCTCGACGGGCAAACCCATGTCTCCGGTTTACGTTTTGTTCCCGATGCCATGTGCTCCTTCAGTCAGTCACGTGACCCAATGATCCACGTGAGCCAGTCCGGCCGCACGAGCCTCTGGCGTCACACGAACCGCAGAGAGTTACCGCGAGCCCACGTGAGCGAGCAGCGAGCCAAATGAGCCACATGCCACAGTCCATCACGCGAGCCACGGCCACATTAGCAAGTTACCCAGAGAGCCACGCTAGAGCACGCGAGCTGCAATGAGTCACGCGAGGACTCCGCGTGTATTGGGGTTTGGAATTCCCATTCCGTAGAGCACACACAGACACGCACGCACACGCACGCACGCCCGCGTGTGCGTGCGTGTACGTGCGTGTCTGTGTGTGCACTTCTACGCAGACAGCGCAGAGCAGTGTGGCTCTAAGTCCTCGTAAGCCTCTTACTGCGCTAAGCGTGTCCAGCCCGGAGTCATCGCATTGGCCCGTCCGTAATCGTTAACCGTTTAACGGCTGGACATAACGCAGCCGTGTCCATCACACGGTGGGGGGGGGGGGGGGGGGGGCGTCAATTCTTAATCTACACGACGACGGCGTCATCTAAAACACGTAGTGCCATACGGTGGAACAAGTCAACGTTACTTTTGTTGTTTTTAAAACGCAGCAAAATGAAGCGGGGGAGCCCTACTTATTTACTCTACACGTGATGAATCAACCGACACTTTAATAGGTTAAGTCACGTAAACGCTTTAGCCAGGATTTTCAGATGAGATGGAACTTGTTTACAGAGCGGCAATGCAAACTAAATCTTTCCTTATCCGTGGCCGCTGCAAAACAGTGGGCCCTCTTTCGGTGCATCGAGTGGCCATCCTGATACCAGACCACAAAATGGCCTTCTCTTAAAATCAACGACACGACTGGGTCACATGGGTGCAGCGGGCGGGGCGGAGTGGAGAACGCCGATGCACAATAACCCGGGCGACGTCACTTCGATTGCCTGCTGCGGCTAACATCATCGGTGAGCAATAACCAAATCAGTTCCTGGCACTCCCACTTCACCAACCACCAGCGTGCCGAAATATACTGAGACCACCGTGGCGATGTGTGGTAAAACACTCCCCATGACAGACATGGCACGGGGAGGCCTTCATCAAGCAGTGGATTGAAACTAAGCTAAAGCTATTGACGACTTGCAGCGCAGCGCACGGCAGATGCCTTCGCAGTGCGACTCACGACCTTCTCTCGACACCAAGATCCGGGACGGTCACGGCCATGCGCCGCTCCTCGGTGGCTGCCCCTGCCCAGTCTGGAACGCCGTCCATCGCCTCTGCACATTCGCAGCGTCGCCTCCATCGTGTCCGAGTTGCGGCCGTTCCGTCCGCAAATTTGCGCGCGTTATAAATTGCATTAATATTATATTTTTTTATTTTACCGGGTAATTCCCACTGAGCTGCATAGTTCATTCTCAGAAGCCGCCCAGCCACAAATGACGGCTCAACGAAGTGGCTTATCACGTGGACATTTATAGCAGCCAAAATACTCTGAACACACGCCGATTCTAAATGTGGAGGGAAAAACGGATTGCCAAGGGGCTGTACATTATTAGTTTCAATGTTTCATAATACGGCTGCACGATTCCTCGGCCACTTGGGGAAATTAGACCATATTACCCCAATTACCAGATCCCCTGCATCATCAAATCCTCCGTGGAATTGCCCCTGCGTACCTCTCCACTCTCATCTCGCTCTACTTCCCTCCACGTGTTTTCAGTCCCCCTCCGTCAACCTCCGCTCAATGTGAGGTAGTGCTTTCTCTCTCCACCTGGCGCATCCATGCCATTGACTCCCTGCCCTCTGTCCAAGCCTCAAGGCCCTCCTCTACTCTGCTGCCTGTGACTGTTTTCTATCAATGAACATGTGAACATTATGCACAACGATGTTAAATCCCTCGCCTGGTATACAGGAGGTCGTGGGTTCAATCCTGACCTCTGACGCCTGCTGTAAATTTGGAGTTTGCGTGTGCTTCTCTCTCCGTGGTCGTGTGGATTTTTCTCCGGGTCCTCCGATTTTTCCCTCCACATTTACATTCAACATGCGCTTAGAGTATTTGTCTGCTATACATTTACACGTAATAAGTCACTTCATTGAGCTATCATGTGGCCAGGTTGCTTCCGAAAAAAAGAGCTCTATCGTTCAGTGGGCCTTACCTGGTATCATCAAAATAGTTTAGTTTTTAGTGAATAATCCACTGCTGGATGAGGCTTTACACATGCTGTGTGGGTTATTTTGACCGTACTTCATCACACCAGGTCAGTGCGGGTTGGTGAAGGCAGGGGGCATAGAGGTACAGCACAACGTGGATATTGCCGCTCTGCCCTCTGCTGCCCACAACGAAGCCCTGCAGCAGCCTTTCACGAGCTGCGTGCGTGGTGGTCAACGATTTAACCACCGTGCAGACTTAGTTCTGCTTAGTTTCTGAGAAGTGACGAGATCGGGCGTATTCCAGGTAGCAGTTGGCCATGAATCGATATCAATGAATTGCCTTGAATAGAAACTTGTTCTGTTTCACACACTCCTTCAAGGCAAATGGATCGGTCCACAGGTTCACGATAAGGTACGGGATTGATCAAAGGTCACTGTAACCAATGCCGTTGATGCCACCACACTCTGCTATTACTCATTTCCTTCTGGAAGCTTCCGCGGAAGGTGGGGACAGTAATTATAACCGCGTAATAATTGTAACCCCTCCGTAGGTGCCCGGTGGCCGGGCTACGAAGAAAAAGGAGAATTGGATGGAGGGGCCCCATTTCATTTCCTGCACCAAGGCTCATGCAAACCACGGCGCTGCGTCACCGATTCGAATTTGGGACCTCAGGTGGTGCCGGCTCAGCGCTCTGACCTCTGAACTATCTGGCCATCGGCAAGAATAATAAACCTTTCAAGAAAAATCTTATCGACACGTCGAGGTGCACGGCTACGATGGCCTTCTGCCGGGGATGCATTTACAGTCTTGTTTCCCGACCGTCGTCGTGACGCGATTGTGCTCTCTCCGTGCATTCTGCGGAGGATGACACCTTGGGCGAGTGGGGGGAGCCGAGTGGTTGGTGGTGGGTAATGTGCGGCGGGTGGGCGGTGGGGTAGCCACTCACTGCGGGGCTTTCGCGAGCAGCAGCTGGAGCGTGGGCAGGTCCCCGCGCGCCGCCGCGTAGTGCACGGCCAGCGCGCCGCTCGCCGTGACGCCCAGCGGGTCGCTGCCGCCGCCGCCGCCGCCCTGCAGCAACAGCCACTGCACCACGGAGCGCCGTCCGAAACGGGCGGCCAGGTGCAGCACGGTGGCGCCCGACGCGTCCTTGTCCTGACGTGGGCGAGAGACGGGGCGAGAGGCGGTGGCCGCTGAAGCTCGGTGCGGCGACAATTAACAGCGTGGCCAGCCGGGTTACGCGACGGGTTCAGAGTTTGTTCGCGAACTCAACCGCGCACGCACTCGCTTATTTCACTTGCCAGCTGGCTCACCCGCTCGCTCACTCGCTCGCCTAACCAGACAACCGCACACTCGCTCACGCTCTCACTCTCTAGCCCATCGCTCGCTCGTTCACGTACACGGTTAGCCAGCTCGCCCACACGCTCACTCACCTGCGCACTCACTCAATCACTTACTCACCCACTTATCCATTATCCCACTTACCCACATGCTCACTCGAACTCACTCGCTTTCCCACTCGCTCATTCGCATCACAGTGTAGGGGTGAATCTGTTCCGGAATGCAGAAGCAGCCACTTGCTAGGGAGGACATGACGGGGGGCTGGTGAGGAGGCAGTGTTTTGTGGAGCGATGCTGAGAATAATGACAATGAATGATGGTTGGAGATGCCAACATGAATGGGTTCACGACCAATGTGCAGGGCTAAAAGTCGCCTTCGCACCCAGTGCACAGAGCGCTGGGGATTGAGGCCTCCCTCTCTTAAAACGCCACTCAGGTACAGGCGGGAACTATTGCCGTGGGGCTGGTGGAGTTGGAAGGATACCCACCAGGTACAGGCAGGAACTATTGCCTTGGGGCTGGTGGAGTTGGAAGGATACCCACCAGGTACAGGCAGGAACTATTGCCTTGGGGCTGGTGGAGTTGGAAGGATACCCACCAGGTACAGGCAGGAACTATTGCCTTGGGGCTGGTGGAGTTGGAAGGATACCCACCAGGTACAGGCAGGAACTATTGCCTTGGGGTTGGTCGAGTTGGAAGGATACCCACCAGGTACAGGCAGGAACTATTGCCGTGGGGCTGGTGGAGTTGGAAGGATACCCACCAGGTACAGGCAGGAACTATTGCCTTGGGGTTGGTCGAGTTGGAAGGATACCCACCAGGTACAGGCAGGAACTATTGCCTTGGGGTTGGTCGAGTTGGAAGGATACCCACCAGGTACAGGCAGGAACTATTGCCTTGGGGGTGGTCGAGTTGGAAGGATACCCACACTTTAACCTCCACCACAAGTGACCAACTACGGGTTAGCAAAGGCCTCGGCGGATGATGCAATGTGTCCATTCATTCATTCACACGTACTCTCGGCTACGGAGCGCCCTTGGCTCCGTAAATCGCTCTCAATCTATTTTCTCGAGTCACCACCACTCGGGATAAAGTCAACCAGCCGTTTAATGAATAACAAACGGCGATAAAACAGCGTCCACTCCGGGAAACACGTGCACCGCAACGCTCAGCCACCAGACTTTGGATGGATCCACCTCAAACTCCCTCCACCGAGACGTCTGTATGACCTCGGTTCGATCCCAAGTTAAGAACTTTCCCCTTCCCTGCTGGAAACTGTCCGTCGACCCGACCACCGTATTCCGTGCCATCCCTACTACTGCCAACCCTGTCCTATCGATCACGTATCCCCCTCTGCCACCCTCATCCATCCCGCCATTCACCTCTCCCCGCTGCGTAACATTAAAGGTGAATAATTTTGTACAATTGGCGTCCGTGCCATCCTTATAGCGTGGGGGCTATCGCGAAGGCGCTTGGTTTTCCAGGCAGCCTGCAGTAGCTTACCAGTAGGGGCCGCTGTTGCCGTGCGTCAGACCGATTTGAGCACGGTGCCTACCCCTCTGACGCTCGACGGCCGAACTTGTTTTAGAATCTGTAACATCCACTGCGAAAGCAGACGGCGCGGAGTATTGTACGGTTGATACGCCCCGCGGGATTTATAGGGATTCATCGTTGCAGCCCCAGCACTTGGGTACACATACACACACCTCATAATACATCACCTCCAGTCTTAAGGTTACCCAATATAGTTACAGTGAAACAGGAATACAAATATTTGCGTATATTATTGTCCGCCATGTGGTTAGGTAGGGTCTGCTACCTGAATCACGAACGTTTGTATTCTATCCCGTGTAAATATCAATGGAGCATTGTTTCAGGTATTTATTTTCTCTCCTTGCATTATTGGGGCATGCACACTCACTTGCACAAATGGACACTCATCAGTTGAACATACAAAGATCCCCGTGCAGCCTTTAACAGCCTGTTGGGGCAAGTGCTGTTAGCGAGCACCTATGAAGGCCGGCATGGCACACGAGACGGTGGGTGGCCAGCACCACGCCCGGCCGCCTTTGCCTCTCTGGTTCTGATCTTTACACGCCACATCAGGAAGTAATTTAAGGCTGAGTCAACCTATGGGGGAACCAGGACCAGTTGAACTATTCGGTACTGATACTGGTCACGAGTGGGAAAATAACTCGGGTCACCAGGTTCACGGCACAGTGCGCTAACCACTGCGCCACCGCTCCCCGCCTCCCATCAGTTCACACACGAGAAACTGTGCATGTGATCCAGCGCGCTTTGGAGGGGGGGGGGGGGATCTCTTAGGAGATTTATGTGAAACGCCCAAAGCCGTTGAGGTGCGAGGTGGCCAAGTTGTGGCAGCAGAGCAAGTGGATTTGTGAGTCCATCCGTGCGGACATCCGAGTGCTCTCTCGTGGCTTTTATCTCACAAGCAACTCAACAATGAAATTGACCAAACATCCCAATACAGGACCCTCATGAAAAATAATCTTGAGATTCACGGGGGCTTTCCTGCACTAACAAATGACATGCTTACACCGGGGTGTTCCACTTACAGACACCCCCACTAAAACAATCGGGGCAAACAACATTCCAAGTGAAAGCCTCCACAGGTCTCCCAACAAAATCTCGATGCAGTTATATGTTTTTACATGTTGCTTTCACAACATTTAAATCAGCTGGTGAGAAAAATGTCAAGGGGGTCATTATCAATCACTGGGGTATCTATTTATAAATGGGCCGTGCTTTATTATGAAACAAGAATCATAATACAAATGCAATTCGGCGCAGTTGAATAACTTGTGTTTTCAATAACAGGGAAAACCGAAGTCTCCACACACACACATATACAGTGAGGGAAAAAAAGTATTTGATCCCCTGCTGATTTTGTACGTTTGCCCACTGACAAATAAATGACCAGTCTATAATTTTAATGGTAGGTTTATTTGAACAGTGAGAGACAGAATAACAAAAACAAAATCCATAAAAACGCATGTCAAAAATGTTATGAATTTATTTGCATTTTAATGAGGGAAATAAGTATTTGACCCCTCTGCAAAACATGACTTAGTACTTGGTGGCAAAACCGTTGTTGGCAATCACAGAGGTCAGACGTCCCTTGTAGTTGGCCACTAAGTTTGCACACATCTCAGGAGAGATATTGTCCCACTCCTCTTTGCAGATCTTCTCCAAGTCATTAAGGTTTCGAGGCTGACGTTTGGCAACTCGAACCTTCAGCTCCCTCCACAGATTTTCTGTGGGATTAAGGTCTGGAGACTGGCTAGGCCACTCCAGGACCTTAATGTGCTTCTTCTTGAGCCACTCCTTTGTTGCCTTAGCCGTGTGTTTTGGGTCATTATCATGCTGGAATACCCATCCACGACCCATTTTCAATGCCCTGGCTGAGGGAAGGAGGTTCTCACCCAATATTTGACGGTACATGGCCCCGTCCATCGTCCCTTTTATGCGGTGAAGTTGTCCTGTCCCCTTAGCAGGTGTTCTTGGGGTCATAGGCAGCATTCCTCCTCCTCCAAACACGGCGAGTTGAGTTGATGCCAAAGAGCTCCATTTTGGTCTCATCTGACCACAACACTTTCACCCAGTTGTCCTCTGAATTATTCAGATGTTCATTGGCAAACTTCAGACGGGCATGTATATGTGCTTTCTTGAGCAGGAGGACCATGCGGGCGCTGCAGGATTTCAGTCCTTCACGGCATAGTGTGTTACTAATTGTTTTCTTGGTGACTATGGTTCCAGCTGCCTTGAGATCATTGACAAGATCCGCCCGTGTAATTCTGGGCTGATTCCTCACCGTTTTCATGACCATTGCAACTCCACGAGGTGAGATCTTGCATAGAGGCCCAGGCCGAGGGAGATTGACAGTTCTTTTGTGTTTCTTCCATTTGCGAATAATCGCACCAACTGTTGTCACCTTCTCACCAAGCTGCTTGGCAATGGTCTTGTATCCCATTCCAGGCTTGTGTAGGTCTACAATTTTGTCCCTGACATCCTTGGAGAGCTCTTTCGTCTTGGCCATGGTGGAGAGTTTGGAATCTGAATGATTGATTGCTTCTGTGGACAGGTGTCTTTTATACAGATAACAAAGCTGAGATTAGCAGCACTCCCTTTAAGAGTGTGCTCCTAATCTCAGCTCGTTATCTGTATAAAAGACACCTGGGAGCCAGACATTTTTTTGATTGAGAGGGGGTCAAATACTTATTTCCCTCATTAAAATGCGAATCAATTTATAACATTTTTGACGTGTTTTCTGGATTTTTTTTGTTGTTATTCTGTCTCTCACTGTTCAAATAAACCTACCATTAAAATTATAGACTGATCATTTCTTTGTCAGTGGGCAAACGTACAAAATCAGCAGGGGATCAAACACGTTTTTTCCCTCACTGTATATAAAATAAAAACCACCCGCACGTAAGAGAGTTCATCCACTCAACGATCCGCACGGACAGGTCCGCACACCCACTGGCTGCATCGCCACCTCCTGGTCACTGGCAGGAAGTTTTACTTCGTTGAACCCAGGTGGCGACAACGCGAGGAGACCTGGACGAGTCTCATTTTGCCAGAGCGACCCGGCTCGCTGTGGGCTGCGTGGCACACACCTGCGTCACACACCTGCGTCTCACACCTGCATCACACACCAACACTACACATCTGCGTCTCACACCGACACTGCACACCTGTATTACACACCAACATTACACACCGACGCTACACACCTGTATTACACACCGACGCGACACACCTGTATTACACACCTGCGTTACACACCGACACTGC